CATATATCATTAATGTATAATATAAATAATTTAGGTCCCAAAACAGAACCCTGAGGCACTCCACATACAATATCCAGCTCACTCGATTGGTATTCACCCAACTTCACAAATTGACGCCTCTGTGTCAAATAACTTCTAATCCAATTCAGAACCATTCCTCTGATCCCATATTTTTCTAACTTATCCATTAATAATTCATGATTGATTGTGTCAAATGCTTTTTTTAGGTCAATAAATATTCCCATCGTGTATTTCCTCTCATCCATAGCACTTGTAGTGTCCTCCATCAGGTCGGTAATGGCCAGAGATGTCGATCGGTTCGACCTAAAACCATATTGGCAATCAGAGAGGATTTTATGTTTATCGATAAATGTTTGTGTCCACCTGATGAATGGAAATCCAATTCTGACTCTTTTTAACTGTGTTGTCATCTTGACTAACTCTTGAGGGAAATATCTGGCTCTTAAGCCACCATAAGCTTCACCTTGCTTCCCACCTGCTGATAAACTGCCTGGCACCTAGTGCTGGGAGGGTAGCATAATCATTACCATAAAATCCGGACTATAAGCCACTACTTTTTTCACAAGCTTTGAACCCTGCGGCTTAAACAACGATGCGGCTAATTTATAGATTTTTTATGAGCTAACGAGCTTCATGCCACCAATACATTTAGCCTCATCACATCAGACCAGTGAAATTACCAAACAGTTCACAGTGGACCAATGAAACTGTTCGAATTAAATCAAATGCACTCACACTAAATTCTTCCTTTTCTTCCGATCAGTCATTTTGCGCTTCGTGCACACACCCTCATCATGAAAAATACACGAAGAAATGCATATGATGCAGCTTTCAAGTTAAAGGCGATCGATCTGGCTGTCGAAGAAGGAAATAGAGCTGCTGCATGTAAGCTTGGCATCAATGAATCGATGGTGAGACACTGGAGACGTGTGTAAATATCTCATGTTACAACGTGAGCACCTGCGGCTTATAGAGAAGTGCGGCCTATATATGTGCAAAATATTTTTTCTTCTTAAATTTAGTGGGTGCGGCTTATAGTCAGGTGCGCTCAATAGTCCGGATTTTACGGTATGTAGCTGGGTTTGTCCCTACAAATGATCCCTTACACAATCTTTTGATCAGTTGTTTATTTAAAAAAAACCCACAAAACTCATTTTAGCAGCTTTTTATCATTTATCCAGCAAAAAAAATAGATCTAGCTTTAAGAAAATTGAGAATGTGAGAATTTGCTACATATTTTTTTTTATTTCTGGATTGTGGTATGGACAAAACAAGCACATTAAAGATGTTGTTTTGGGCTCTGACAGAAAACAAGTCAAATGTGTCTTGGCAATGTTGCAGAAGGAACATCTTTGCGCAAAATTCCACCCAAAAAGTCAAAACACCACTGATAGAAAGGATGAGACTGGCAATATTCCATATTGTTCTGATAGTCACATCCAATGAAATACTATAGGGGATAGCTACGACCGACAAGTATCATCTGTGTGGCCAAATACTGATGCCACTGGTGTCATTACATTTAGGTTTGTTAACTGATACAACGTCTGCGATGTCCCACTTTAATTCCATCCAGGGACTGCTATGGCACACCATTCCCTCCTGTCTCTCTCCCCACACATCTAGTCACTTTCTATTAAAGGTAGCTTGCCAAGACATAATCCATACAGACATACAAAAGGAATCTGTAGTATATATATGAAAGGTGTTTAGTCATTAATCTGTTTATAACCCATTCATACTGGTGCCATGAATGTGTTTTTAAATGTCATTTAAATGACGGTTGTTTATTAATTAATTATGATACCCACTGCTATAAAAGAAGACATCAGAGGTCTACTATTGGACTTGAAGCTCAATTCCATCTCCTTTGTCAAGGAGAAATCAATCACCCAGTCCCTGGAGGAAGACCGGCTGGCATTTGAACTGATTGTGCCATTTAGTCCTGTGTGGAGATTAACTATACTTTTCCACAGTCCTGTCTTTTAGTCTTCAAATTAATTTCCTATGTCTACATGAGAGTTCTAACACAAACAAATGATCAGCGGCACACCCAGCTAAGTTAAGCACCCTATTGACTGTTTATTTATCAGTGAATGTGTTACACACTTTGGGGTGAGATCTAGCACCTTATACAAAAGGGTAAAAAGAGTGTGTGTCTTTAGTCATTCTTGTGACTTAGAGAGTATTGTTGTCTTCACTGGGCCGACCAGGTAAGGGAAAATATTTTGTCGCACTTGCTTTTATTGGCCATGGAAACTCTTGGTGGGTTTATTGGGAGCACTGTTTTGAGGACACATGTGGTGCCTTTTTATGGCACGGTAGGGTCGCAGTCGCGAATAGGTCAATCATGCCCATCCTGTGCCGTTTAGAGGAGCCCCGTTGATGTGCTGAGGGGAGACTGTACACCTCTCCTGCTGAGATTGATGCCTCCTGTTGTTAAAGCCGCTGAGAAATTACTTTTCGTTTTTCACTCAGGGAACAGCCAGTTACAGTTCATGAGCCCTTTCATTGTACAAGCAAAAACACAAAGAGAATTAGAGAGAAACACATACGTACATACATACATCTTTTATTGATCACCATGGGTAAGATACAGACAGCTTGTTTCCACCTCACTCAGCTGCACATTGTATGAGATGATGTGGGAAGGCTGTTGCTAGGACACCAAGTGAAGACTGTGAAACAAATCGATTTGACTAGCTACTTCTTGCATTTGTTTTATTTTATTTTGCTCTTCCTATGCTGGTGAGAGCACAGAAAGACTGCTGCAAAACAGGAAACAGTTGTATTACAAGGTCTGTCACTGAAGCCCATTGGTTTCTCAGTCCATAACTAGGTTTTCAAGTTTGGAAGCTAAATGTTATATTGTTAACAGAATAGTAAATGCGTGACACAGGAATAGATCAGTTTAAAAAGCATTATTTTACAATAGGTGGAATGGTTGACATGTTTATCTGCAATATATACCGCTGGATATAACCCCCGTTTGAAGCATGGCACTCACTTGAGCATCTCTTATTAATTATTGAAGTGGCACTTTCAAATGCAGCTGCCACACATGACAATTCCACAACAAATCTTTTGTCAGGTGATTGTTACTAATTTGTGTCACTATTTACTTTACTATGGAAGAACAAAATTCAAATTTTCAAACAGGTAAAGCACACATGTAAGGTTCAAGGTTAAGGATTTTATTGTCAATTCACCATATGTGTAGGACATACAGAAAATCAAAATTCCGTTTCTCTTCTCACCTAGTATTGGGTGCCATAACATTTAGGAAATAAAATAGAATAACGCAGAATAAAAACAATAGAATAGAACTTGATTGACGTAATTGGGATAAATCTAAATGGTACAGCCAATAAGCTGTGACTCGAAACCATGTATAGTCAGTGACAGTAGTGTAGACAATAATAGGAGATTGTCAGATGGTTCAGCATCACCAGGGCTTTGGTGATAAGGTGCAAATAGCATATGAGGTATACATGGACTATATTGCAAATGACCAACAACAACAGATATCCCGGCAAAAAAAAAAAAAAAAAAAAAAAAACAGTCAGCAGCAGATTTGAACAGACAGACAAACAACAGACAGTAAAATAGCATCCTCACAGCCTGGTGAATGAAGCTGTTTGTAAGTCTTGTGGAGGGGGCCTGAAGACTCCGATACCTTCTCCCTGAAGGCAGGAGTCTGAAGTGGGAGTGTGCGGGGTGGGAGGTGTCATCAGTGTGGGTGAGGCAGGTGTTGAAGATGTCCGTAAGGGAAGGCAGAGGGGCACCGATGATCTTGCCGGCTGTTTTCACTATGTGTTGCAGGGTCCTTCTGCAGGAGGCAGCACAGGCTCCGTACCACACAGTGATGCAGCCAGTGATAACACTCTCAATGGTGCCCTGGTAGAAGGAGCACAGGATGGGGGGTTGGGGCACTGGCTCTCCTCATTTTGCGGAGAAAGTAGAGGTGTGTTTGAGCTTTCTTGGCCAGTGTTGTGGTGTTGTTGGTCCAGGAGAGGTCCTCAGAGATGTGCACCCCCAGGAACTTGGTACTGCTCACTATCTCCACCATCAATGGTCAGTGGTGGATGCTTTAGAGATTTTCTCCTGAAGCAAATAACACTAGCAGCAGCATTAAGTGTTTCAGTAGGTCAGTGACCAAGGCTGCATATTAGCAAAGCCCCAGAAAAGGCTCACCTATATGAAATGGAGCCATCAATTGTTAATAATCATACCTGTGTTTTTTTTTGTTTGTTTTTGTTTTTTTCTTTGCATTGACGAGTCAATATGTCTGCAACAAAAGCCTGGCCTGTTGATGTTAAAGGGGTTTAAATATTACAACCAGGACAATAACCTCTATGTAACCAGTACCATGCTCCAATTCTAAAACCTGTTATCTTGTAAAGTAATCTGTTCACAATCTCTTCCTCTCAGGAGTACACCATTGATGTCTTCTTCCGTCAGAGCTGGAGAGACGAGAGGCTCAAATTTGATGGGCCCATGCAAGTTTTACCCCTTAACAACCTCCTGGCAAGCAAAATCTGGACTCCTGATACCTTTTTTCACAATGGAAAGAAATCTGTGGCCCATAACATGACAACTCCTAACAAGCTGCTACGACTTGTCGACAATGGCACGCTTCTCTACACAATGAGGTGAACCACACAATATTCTTTAGTGAACACTGCTGCTTTGTTACTCTAACAAGACTAAAACTACATTCACATAACAAGACTTAATGCTTAGTTCTGATCTTTTTGTCAGATCTGATCTTTTTGTATTGATTGTTCACATTCATGTTTGTAAGTATCCAGCTCTTTAGGTCCCTAAACTGACATGCAGGCACAGATTCAACTTTAATTTAATTGAAATTTAAGTTACATGTATACAAGAATAACAACAACATTTGTGCGGCCGAAGCGATAGCAAGCCCCCAGCAACTTCCATAGAACTGAATAGGTGCAATCTAGCAATTCTGGATACAGTTCTCAACTAATGCAGCCAATATGTCCATGGTTGTTGGCGCACCACCAGTGCATACAGTGCACACAGTGACAATGCCAACATGCTGTTTGCCATGTTTAGCATGCTATTAAACTCCAAGTGTTTTTTCACTATCAGTGACCAAATCAAAATCCACTGTCAGCTCAGCTGTGGTATGCAGTATGTTACTGTTTGATGAAAAGCTTAGTGAAAGCCACAGAAACAATTGTGATGTGATAGCTCTGTCAGAGACAGCTGGCTGGTGAGCTATTAACATGATATACTGTGCATTGCTTGTATGGGCCTAGTTTTGTACTGAACCGAACATAACAGCTTGAACAAGCAGAATGAATTGAACTGAAATGAAAAGAGTCAGAACCCAAGCAGAATGAATTGAACTGAAATGAAGAGAGTCAGAACCAGCCCCAGACCTAAGTATTAGACAAACTGAACATTTGAGTACTAGATGAAAAGTTAAGGGATTGCCAAGGATATTACAACTGGGACATGAATATTTATTCCAGAATTTCATGACAATTCATGTAAGAGGTTGTTGAAATCACAGATGTCAACCCCAAAACCTTAAGGAACTAAAACTGAAGGTGTGGGGAGCAGACACAGCAGCTATCCAGATCATGTCAGATCATTTCACCTGCATGAGTGGCAGCTAACTGATTTACAACCTGTCTAGATCAAACAGGTTTTCACACACACACAGCTCAGTGAGTAATATTCACTTGATCAAGGGGATGCTGCTGTATGTATGTTGTGCCTAAAGTGCACTCTAAATAGCATCAGCTACCAAGACAGTCACAGTCAGTGAATACTCTTTTCCACGGAACTGGAGCAAGAATAATTATTTGGTTTCGACCCATCATCAGCCTTCCCTGCAGCTTTTCATCTTTGAAAATCCATCCATCCATTATCTATACCGCTTATCCTGACAAGGGTCATGGAGGGCTGGAGCCAATCCCAGCTGACATTGAGCGAGAGGTGGGGTACACCCCGGATAGGTCATCTTGAAAATAAATATTGAAATAATGCTTACCCACAAGGTCAGTGTTGGTGTTCAAGGTAGAACATAAAGTAGTGAAACATTTTGTGGTCCCACAAGAGTAGATTTGATGCGGTAGCAATTCTAAGTTACCAAGGCCAAGACGGACATGTGTGCTCTAGTGCAGTATTACAAGGACTGCTGTGTTTACAGCAGCCCTTGTAGTGGTAAAATGACAGGCTGTATGATGAAGCAAACTTGGATAAACCTCCGTCAGACAGACTTTGGAACCAGCTTATTGATTATCTTGTATGTAGTTTGGAGCTGATAACTTAAATTTGCCTGAGCACACTTCACGGGTATTAGGCTGTAGAATATACAGTGGGTACGGAAAGTATTCAGACCCCCTTAACTTTTTCACTCTTTGTTATATTGCAGCCATATGCTAAAATCATTTAAGTTCATTTTTTTTCCTTATTAATGCACACACAGCACCCCATATTGACAGAAAAACA